GGGGCTCCCGCAGCCGCCCACGCCGCAGCCCGCCCCGGTGAACGGCATCTTGGTGCCCAACGGCTTCTCCAAGTTGGAGGAGCCGCCAGAGTTGAACCGCCAGAGCCCGAACCCGCGGCGCGCCCATGCCGTGCCGCCCACCCTGGTGCCGCTCATGAACGGCTCTGCTGCCCCGCTGCCCGCCGCGCTCGGGCTGAGCAGCCGCGCCGCCGCCTCGTTGGCCGCAGTGAGCGGGGCCTCGGGCCTGGGCGCGCAGCCCGCCGAGCTGAGCGCGCACAAGCGGCCTGCGTCTGTGTCCAGCAGCGCGGCGGTGGACCACGAGCCCCGCGAGGCGGCGACCAAGGAGAAACAGCCGCCGCCGCCGGCGCACCGTAGCCCGGCGGACAGCCTATCCAGCGCGAGTGGAGGCGGAGAGCTGAGCGCCGAGGGCGCGGGCAAAGGCCGCGGACCCGGAGACCAGGACTGGGCGAACAGGCCCAAGACGGTGCGCGACACGCTGCTGGCGCTGCACCAACACGGCCACTCGGGGCCCTTCGAGAGCAAGTTCAAGAAGGAGCCGGCCCTGACTGCAGGCAGGTTGTTGGGTTTCGAGGCCAACGGGGCCAACGGGTCTAAAGCAGGTAGGGGCGGCTGTGGAGCCAGGGGTGTAAGGGCTCGAGGGGGCACGAGGTCAGGCTGGGGTGTGTGTGCACCATACTGCCCCAGTCCAGAGACAACAGCCAGCCAACTTCCTGGTCCACCCGAGGCGGAACCTGCGCTCGGTGGCAACGTGGTTCTTGTGCTGAACCAGCACAACGGGGATGAGTCAGAGCGGGCTGATAGGCAGACACTTGGGGTTTTCCTTTCCCAGCACATTCTTGGACGGGAGCATGAGGGCAGCAGTCACCTTTTAACTTGTCGGGGACGTTAGCGGTCACATGCGGTGGGGGGGGGGAGCCAGGCAGGCCTGCCTTCTGCCATTTGGCTTCCTTTGGAACTGGTGTGCAAGGCTCAGTCCCCCTGCCAGCCGCAGGGTTAGCAGCTGCGCGCAAAACTTGTATGGAGGTGAGATTCCGGAACCTCGTACCCAGAGGTCTCCTTCGAGAGTATTTTCACTTACTTGCCTTTTCTTCCATGCCTCTCTTTTCTCCAGTTGCAAGAACAGCAAGGAAAAGGAAACCTTCCCCAGAACCGGAAGGGGAAGTCGGGCCTCCTAAGATGAATGGTGAGGCCCAGCCGTGGCTGTCCACTTCCACAGAAGGGCTCAAGATCCCCATCACCCCCACATCCTCTTTTGTGTCCCCACCACCCCCTACTGCCTCTCCTCATTCCAACCGGACCACACCGCCTGAAGCGGCTCAGAACGGCCAGTCCCCCATGGCAGCCCTGATCCTAGTAGCAGACAATGCCGGGGGCAGTCATGCCTCGAAAGATGCCAGCCAGGTTCACTCCACCACCCGGAGGAATAGCAGCAGTCCACCCTCTCCGTCCTCTATGAACCAAAGAAGGCTTGGCCCCAGAGAGGTGGGGGGCCAGGGCACCGGCAGCACAGGAGGACTGGAGTCGGTGCACCCTGCCAGCCTCCCAGACTCCTCTCTGGCAGCCAGTGCCCCCCTGTGCTGCACCCTGTGCCACGAGAGGCTCGAGGACACCCACTTTGTGCAGTGCCCTTCGGTGCCTTCGCACAAATTCTGCTTTCCTTGCTCCAGACAAAGCATCAAACAGCAGGGGGCTAGCGGAGAGGTCTACTGTCCCAGCGGGGAGAAGTGCCCTCTGGTGGGCTCCAATGTTCCCTGGGCCTTCATGCAAGGAGAGATCGCCACCATCCTCGCGGGCGACGTGAAAGTGAAGAAGGAGAGAGACTCGTGACTTTCCTCTTGAGAAAAGCTCATGCTTACTCTTAACCAAAACTGCTTGGACTGTATGTAAATCATATATATAAATATATATATATATATCCAAGACAAGGGAAACGTAGACTTCATAAACATGGCTGTATAATTTTGATTTTTTTTGAATACATAGTGTTTCTATATTTTTTGACGACAAAAGGTATGTACTTATAAAGGCATTTTCTTCTTTTGTTAACGTTATTAGCCTGTCTTTGCTTTACTATCCTGGTTACAGTTACCGGTCTATGTAGGCTGTGACTTGGCTGCTTTTTTTAGAGCACTTGGTAGACAAATGCCTCTAGCTGTATTTGTATGCACTTATTTTAAAAAGAAAAAAAAGCCAAATACATTTTCTGCCGTTGTAAGATTGCCTTACTGACATTCCTCATTGCCAGCCCCCTGGGCTGGAGGCCAGTTGGTAGAGAAGGAAAGGCGTGAAGGGGGCACTGTTGTCAAGAGGGCGTGCCATGCTGCTGGGAAGTGTCACCTGACGTGCCCAAGCAGGCCCTCCCAGAGGAAAGTAGGGTTTGAATCTATTTTGTTTTTATGGTTCAGTTCTTGCAATAGTGATAGTCTGAGAGGCGCTGCTGAAGGGTTTGCAGGATTGGGTTCTGGGGGAGTTTTTGTTTGTTTTAAATTTAAGGCAAAGTTGCCACTGTTACTCTGCCCACATGACCAGTTGTAAGATTGCAAGTTGCATGCCCTTTGGTGGAAGCGGTTGTAAGGGGTGGTGTGCAAATAAGATGGCACCGCCGGACGTCCTCCAGCAGAGCCTGGCTCTGCAGCGCCATTCAGCCTTTCGAACACTAGAGCTCTGTCGCTGTCATTGCAGGCCAGGTGAACTTGGAGACTGGGATCGGTTTCTTTTCTGTGTTCTGGGTTTTCTCCCGTTTTGTTGTTGTCTTTTCCCTGTCACCTTGCAGCCCTTGACTGTGGCTGCCCAACGCTCCTGTCATGGCCGGTGCTCCATACAGTATGGTACATTGACAGGACCAGCCCTGGGTGCTGCCAGGATGCCCTGTGGGCATATCAGTGACACCCTGTGTGGGTAGAGGAAGCCTGCAGTTTCCTTCTTACAGGTGTTTGAAATACCAAGTGAATAATACTGTTCTGGAAATAAAGGCTTTACATAATAGGCAAGCCCCACCTCTCAAACTATTTTTAGAAGCTTTTTGTAAACTAATTTTCTTGATCACTATTTTACATTGGTGAAGTGATTCTTTTTTTTAATTAAAACCAATAAATCATCAGTTATTAGAAGTAGTTGTCCGTCAGTGATGCTGGGTTTTTTTTTTTTTTGTTCTGTGCTGGTTCAACACGGACAGGAACATTACCCTAAACCCTTCCACTCAGGTGTTTGTGAGATGGCCTCACAGGCTCAATCATGGCTTCTAAGTCCACTGTAGTTTGTGTATTGTTCACAGCTTAGCTTCTGTTTTAATTTGGAAATAGGTTATTACCACCTTGGGATTACTTTTTAGTTACATCTTTGTCTTTTTTTTATTGTCCAAAGGTTTGTTTTTTGTTTTTAGTGGTCACGTTACTAAACTTGAAAACCAGTGATAGTGCACCAAATACAGTATTTTTTGTCATGTTTTTCATGCGTGCACGTACTCGCACTGTGCGAGTTCACGTTACCAGTCATTGTTATAGTAGAGTTGCATGGTGAACCAGTTCGTCGTTACACTTTTTTTAACTGACGTATCTGTGACTCATATCAGACTGGTCTCTCAGAGGCGAATGAATACATGGAGAAAGCAGAGTCCATTTCACATGCCCATAAAGACATTTGTGAAGAACCCAACTATTATGGTCTGTTGTAGAAATGTGTTTCTAAGCACTTTATTATAAACTGGAATTTGACCTCATAGATGTTACAACTAGATCAGTCATTTGACCTAATTTGCGGTGGCTATCTGTATCTTGCAATCTCAACACAGATAGGCTGTCCAAAAGATTAATAAAGAACCATCCTGCCGAGTCAGAGAAGTTTGTCCAGCTGTGGTAAAGGCCACCTGTGGCTTCTCTATGATAGTGGTAAGGGAGACAGAACTTGAACAGTTTTAGAGGGCTGTATTTTGAGGGTCAAGACCTGTGTACATCTGTCTGCTTGGCCCTGGGTGGCCAGAGTGCTGATCTGGGGGCCTGGTTGATGGTTTGTGGTCCCTAATGACAGTTCCCCACAGCTGAATAGATTTGTCAGAAAGCTACTTAACTGTCCATGGACAGTGTCAGGTTTCCCATACTATTCCAGCCGTGCTTTTAAAATACTCAGAATATTAGGGGATGGGGTGTCGAAGCTTTCCTTTTTTTGCTTTAACAATTGGTAGAATTTAACAGTTGTACCGTCTTTCATGTGGCCTCACGTTTAAAGTTACAAGAACAGACACATGGTTTACAACTTTTACTATATTCCTTGGCCACCAAGTATTTTAAAAGTGTGCCACCTTTTAACCTTTGCTTTTTTTTTTAAGTTGAAGGTGATAATTTTTTTCTATATATGATGAAACTCATGTCAACTGAAGTAAGTGTAATCTTAGCTGTCAACATTATTATATTTTAAGTCACGCTATGGAAATATCACCTGCATTCTGTCCTTTGTCAGATTTACAGTACTTTTTTTTTCCTTTAACTTTTAGCATTAAATAAAAATAAAATTGGGAGCACTGAACAAAATTTTCTGAGGCCTTTTTTACAATGAGCTTAGGATGGCTATTATGTTAATCACTCTACTAAAGGATGTGTGGGGTTGGGGTTGGGGTTTGACTGTAACAGGAGAATAACAGATAAAAGACTTGCAGAACAAAGAGGCAATTCTGGTAGAAAGAGGTGCTAGAAACTAGGGAAAGGGCAGCAGGACATGGGACACAGATAGGGGCTGCGCAGGAGTTCAGCTGGGAAGCACTTGTTTGTTTTTCCACTGGCAGGAAAGCCAGGCCCTCTACAAGAGGGGGCTGGAAAGAAACTAGTGACTACACTGAACAGACCCGAGCCAACCTGGAGCTGCTCTTCGGGAAGATTTCTAGTAACAGCCATCTTGGGCCACAGGACAGTGCACGGAAGACAAGGGGGATAAACAGAAAGAAAATGGTCTGCATTTGGGAAAGCACTCACGGCTGAGGTGGGGAGATTCAGTATAAGAAGCTGAAGTTACTCAAGGTGGGAAGTCAGGAGTGCATTTTACAACTGCTGTCACCACAGTAAAAAGGTCCTGGAGGATGCAGGTTTTATTCTATTGACCTATGGCTTAGAAGAATTCTGTGAAAGGAAGTTGAACTTTTGAAGAGTTCAAGACTAAAGTAGACCCAGACTTCCTGCAGGTTTTCAGTCAGACATCAACAGTGGATATGTCATTGAATGCATTTTCATTAGGGGTGGTCCTGTAACTTGGGGGAGGTATCCTTTTTTTTTTTTTTTCATTAATAGCCCATTCGATGCACTTAAAAAAAAAAAACTTAATAACATGTTACGACATTTTAATTTAGTGAGCTAGAAGGAACAGGCTGGACTATTGGTTTCTGTTTTCTCTGAAATGCTAGATTTTTAGTGACACTTAAAAATTGTGTCTGTCACACAAGAAGCTCCTTCCAAAGATAAACATCAGTGATTATGTTCAGTTTTCAAGTAAGAAAACAAGCTAGACTCTTGTGGGAAGGAAAAAGTTAAAAGAGTTTGTGACCCCTTTTGGTTCCAAGACTTTTAAGTCCTCCATTACTCAACTTGTTTTGTATATGATTTATGTATATGGCTTTATTTGGTCAGTGAGGAGTGAAATGCCTGTCTTCCTGATTCCCTGAGTGTGTGCATGGAATCATTCAGTAGAATGTTGAGTTTGGGTAGCCACCAGAAATCCTGACTCACTTGCTTGCCTTTATTCATAGGCAGCAGCTAAAAGACACGCCTGCCTTTCCTGGTCACAGACCAAGGTCAGATGCTCCAGTGAATGGAATACATTCTTAGTCATCTAGGGTTCTAGACGAGGAGCTGTAGTTAACTCCTTCAGTGCCACTGGTTAGGCCTCTTGACATAGCCAGCAGTGTTAAAATTAGGTGGGCGCTACAAGCACATAGATCTCTCTGGTGTTCCTGGGGACAGCCTGCTATCTTCCTTAGTCTGACTGAACCCCTTACTTTGGGACACTAAAATAAAACTCATAGTTTGTAAGTTACTTAAGAGACTGGAAGTTGGAAATGAGTGGGCTTGTGAATTAACATCAATTTCCCTGACTCCTTGGATAAATTTCAAAATTTGGAGACCCACAACTGTTCCCCCTCCCCAACTAGCTGATCATTATTAAGAATATCTATATTCTTAATATGGGTATTGGGGTGTAGGTCAGTGGTAGAGTGCTTGCCTAACATATGTGAGGCCTTGGATTCAGTTCCCAGCACCAAGAAAAAACCTACCAGTGAACTTTTAAACTCATCAACATGTCACCTGTCCCATGTCAATTGATTTAAAACAGCTTTCCTTTTATTTCAGAAGACAACTTATTTTTTAAAAGACTGTGAAATTATATTTGAAGTCTTTATCACAATATTGTGTACTTCTGTGTGGGACTGAGCCACATAAAATGATCCATGCAACCCACAAAAAGAAGATATTTTAGGGCAAAAGTTCCCAAATCATTTAGACATGGTATCTTAAAAGCTGTTCTTTTATTTTGAATATAAGAAACTTTGTTAGAATGACTCTATTAGTATGGTATAAAGTTTCTTCTATAATACCATCTTAAATATGTCTAAAAAGACAAAGCCTGGCCCTTTATAATTCACAGTAACTCAGTCACAGAACGTGCTTCCAGTGTGAGTAATATTTATCACAAGATCAGCCATCATAGGCCTCTAGGTAGCAGACGTTTTCCTCCTGGGTCAGACAAGATCTGTAGACCCAGATGACAGGATTCCAAGTTAGAAATGAGAGCAGCCAGGCACTGATTGGCCTTGGTGGGACTGCAGAAGTCAAAACAGCCGAATCAACACACACCTCTTCCAGGAGCCCTCCGTGCTGATAAAGTAACAGCCAGTGTAGGGCAGTGGGACATTTGAATATTTCTAAATATAACTTATATGTGGGGGGGGGGATATCAACTGTGTTACATAATCTGGAGATCTCTCACCCCTTAACCACTTTCACTTAGCAATTAGTATTTCTGCTGAAGTCATCAGCATGGGAAGTCATGAGCATCAGTTAACGGTTCAGATGCCCATTAGGGGTCAGGCACAGATGAGTCAGGCTTTGTTGGATGTGCACGTGGCTAACAACCTTAGCAGACAAATATTTAGGTCACTGCACATTTCTCTGCCACATAGAAAACACCTTTCCTATGGCATTTCAGTCTTTTGAACTATGTACATGTGGCTGTTTATGTCTCCAGAAGACAGAAACAGCATTTCAACAGATTGTGCACATTGTAGTGTGTTTTGTTTTTCCTGTTTAGTACTTAGTATCTAAGAATACTTTTTCTGGGGCTAGAGAGATGGCTCAGCTGTTAAGAGAACTGACTGCTCTTGCAGAGGGTTCGATTCCACGTGGTGGCTATGAACTGTCCTTAACTCCAGTTCCAGGGGAATCCGAAGCCCTCTTCTGACGTCTGTGCCATTGCATGACACGGGTGCACTCACATACATGCAGGCAATACACTCATACAGCCTTGGTTTTTATTAATGTATGGATTTTTTAAGTAAGCCATAAATTACTTTTATGCTATGATTTTAAAATATGTGCCATACTCAAGATAATTTACAGAAAACATGGAGGAGGAGGAGGAGTAGACACCGCTGGGGTCCACCTAAGTCAGCACTATATATAGCAAGTTTTGGAATGGACTTGCCACCAGGAAAAGGTTGCTGGGGAGCCTCCACCCAGGCTGAAACCTGTTTACCCCCATTTTATTTGTACTGCCAACAGCAATTCAGTTAGCCTTTTGGGTGATAAAAGATAAAGATTTATTGTACCCCATATACAGCTGAAGAAATCAGAATTTCACAGGCAGGTCACAGTTGTTAATGACGTGTTTTTTGTGAATACTGTTCTAATAAGCACCATGCAGGTGCCTGCCCCCATTCTTTAAGACCCCCAAGCAGGGACCTGATGCCCAGTCTAGGTCCACTTTGGGGTTAGGGTCAAAACCACGGTCAGGAAGGGCCGCTTCTCCTGGCCAAGGGCACACATGGACAAGTTGGCCCACAAAGTCGCACTGGCAATTTGGGAAGTAGAGTTGAGAAGAACTAGGTTTTCCAAGAACTTATATCCGCAAC